ATATCCTCTGCTGTGTTTTCATGTTATCCCAGGGTGAGAAAAAAAATGAGACGGAGCATGCACTTGAATGGAGAGTAGGTGATTTGTGAGCTGATGAGGAAACTATGATCTCTTTACTGAGGGCCATGGGCCTGTTTTCCAAGGACTGTGATGCCGAGGTGGTGAAAGGCAAGCTGGAAACTTTTGGTTTAGAGTGAGTGTCCATCCCATAGGGTACTTCCAGCTGAAGGCTGCTTCTCTGTTCTTGGGTCCCAGGGACCAAGCAGGGCTGCCCTGGCGATTCCATCAGGGCAGTCTTGGTTCAAAGCTGAGGACCTGAGCTTTTCTTCTTGTTGATCGTGTTGTTAGCACCCCTGCTTGAGGGAGTTTCAGCCAGGGAAAGAGGAAATCCTCTCAGAGCTGTTTATGCCAGAAGAAGCTGGAGACGGTCACCTCAGGGCTATGTTGCTCTCTTTTTTGGAATATCAGGGGATTTGTTTTGTCCTCGTGTCCAGACTCCAGAACTCCATTGGTCTGGACCCCAGTTAATCTCTGGGACCTAGAATTTGTTTTGTTTTGTTTTTCCAGATTAAACAAACTAAGCAAACACTTAATTGGGTCCTAGATGGAGGGGCAGACTCTAAATTTGAGAAACTGGAGGAAGTTGAATGTGGGCTGCATAGTTTAGACGAGCTTCGTCATCTGCACTCATCCACTTCACAGTACTTATGTATTTATTTTTCTTTGTTTATTTTAATTTTTTATTGTTATCCTTATTTTCTAAGATAGGGTTTTGTAGACAAAGGAATTTCCTCTCCTCCTATTTCTCCCTCCCCATTCTCCTCCCCGCCGACCATTTTCCTCCATATTATTACGATAGTATACTCGTTTCACAATAGTCACAAGTCCAAAATTCTGCAATTTAACTGTATGATGGCATTGTAGGTATTAGTGATGGTGGAAAATCTACTATCGTATTGTCAAGTTATATTAAACTTTATTGGGAATGTTTCTTTTATTTGGAGTAGAGATGTATGTTGCAACATATCTTTGCTTCCCAATATGCTGGTCTCCATTTTACAGTTTATCTATGAGAATATATGTATATACATGTTTACTTATATACTGATTTGTTTTTGCATTTTGCATGAATGTGGCCTGATATCAGAGAGAACATATGACATTTTTTCCTTTTGGAATCAACTTATTGAATGTAATATAAGAACTAGAAATTGATAGGTGAAGGAGCTTCGAAATCTTCCTGGGAAATGAAATTAAAAGGAAATTTTATTTTGGTATAAAAATTTATGACATCCATGAATATAGGAGTCCTCAAAGAGTTTACTGAAAATGTATAATTTTTAAAAAGCTAGCACTGGATTTCAAATTTCTTTTGCACTAAAATAAATTTCATTTTCAACAAATGTTTCGAAACACCCTTTGTGTCTTGTGGCCTCTAAATCTTCCTCCTGAGCATCTAGTTTCCCTGACTTCCTTTTCCACTCTTCTGCATAAAGCAGACGGAGAAAAAAATAGAGCCTTTGACGCATAGATAATCTCAGTGTGAGGTCGAAAGGGGAGGAAACATTTAGAGAAGCCACAGCACAGTTCAATTTAGGAAGTTAGCTGGAGAATGCTTTTGGAGTGGAGTGGCCCTGGCAGGTTAGGGGTGATAAGTCACGAGGGAGCAGAGCCTTATGATTTTTGCCTATTGAGTTTAATAATCAGTAGCAAAGTTTTTGGTATTTCTGTCTAGGCAGATTTTTAAAAACAAAGCACTAAAGAGCAAGTTCAGGAAGTACTTATAACTGTATTTCTCCGGCTAGTTGCCATGAAAATTTAAGTGCCAAACCACGTTGCTGTCTTCCTGGTGAGAAAGTACCTGAATAGGATGGGAGTGTTTATGGTTGGTTGGATATTTTATTATTATTATAACATTTATATATGTAAGATTTATTTATTTATTGAAAAGGTAGATTTACAAAGAGAAGGAGAGACAGAGAGAAAGATCTTTTGTCCACTGATTGACTTCCCAAGTGACAGCAACAGCCAAAGCTGTACCGATCCGAAGCCAGGAGCCAGGAGCTTCCTCTAAATTTTGCATGTGGGTGCAGGATCCCAAGGCTCTGGGCCATCCTCTATTGCTTTGCCAGGCTGTAAGTAGGAAGCTGGATGGGAAGTGGAGCAGCTGGGACACGGAGTAGTATCCCATTGTGGAATCCTAGCACTTGCATGGCAAGGATTTAGTCACTGAACCATTGTGCTGGGCCCATTTCATTGGATCTTGTATAAGTTTGGTGGAGAGCACATGGGGATGGACAGACTGGACTTTCCGAAACCCTCCTTTGGGAGATAAGGGGCTGCCATCTTGTTCTTGCCTCTTCTCATTCCTGGTCACTAGGGCTCCCCACACCTCTGAGTAGGATACCATTTGATGATTTGCTTCCCCTTGGGTTTTGTAGGGTTATAGGTTAGAGGCTACTCTTAGAGCAAACAGTTATTCGTGTTTGCTCCAAATTAAGAGGTATCAGAGAGTATGAACTCTTAGTGCTAAAACTGGACCAGACTCAGGTCAGTCAGGCAACTTGGTCAACTTGTAGCCTTAACTCAAGGCTTTGTAGCTAGTGTTGGTCAAGGGAGTGCCAGAACAGTCTTTTGGGAATTGGGAGCAGAGCTTTTGGTGTATTCAGCAAGAATGGTTAATGGAGATCCACTTAACCAGTGGGCAGAGACTAATCTAGTCCTGGAATCTGTTTTTGGCCAGAGTGAGCAGGCCCACAGGCTAATGGGTTTCCTGGTTTCTTGCCCTCGGGAAGCCAGGGTGCTGTCTACTGGGGAGGGGAGCAGATGATTGGATTTGGATCCTAGCTGTGTTCACTTCTGGTCTGAGACTTTGAGTAGAGGGTGATTTTGTTTTTTTCTTTCTCAGAAATGAATCAGTGGTTCAGAAAAGCCCAGACACTGCTAGATTTATTTACTGTTGTCCTGTGAGGAAATGGGGAGTGGAGGAGAGAGCAGAAGAGAGTAAAAAGGAACACATTTTCTTTTTAAAGATTTATCTTTATTTGAAAGGCATATTAGGAGATAGAATAGGTAGGTGGGTAGGGAGAGAAAGGGAGGAGGTGAGGGAGAGGAGAGAAAAAGAGAGAGAAAGAGAGATCCTCCATCCACTGGTTCACTTCCCAGATGGCTGCACTGGTTGGAGCTTAGCCAATCCAAAGCCAGAAGCCAGGAGTTTCTCTCACATGAGTGCAGTGGCCAATATCTGCTACTTTTCCAGGCCATAAGCAGGCAGCTGGGTCAGAAATAAAGCAGCCTGGATACAAACTGGTGCCTATATGGAATGCCTATACGACAGGCAGAGGATTAGCCACCATGCCAGCCCCTGGGAGCACATTGTCTAGAAGCCAGCTGTCACGTGGAAGCTTATAGGAAGGAAATGCTTTTCTATTTGAGGGTAGTAATTTAGCTTGGGAGGATGGCCACTGACAGTGGAGGTCTCACTCAATGGCCACTTCAGGTGGTGGTGATAACGAAGGACACAATCTCTGTCCCAGTCTTAGCACTTTGAGTCCCATGAAGGCTCTTGGTTCTGCACAAGTTGATGCCCTCATGGCGGGGGTCAGGAAGGCTGGATTTTGGGGACTGAGCACATAGAGGTGAGTGAGTCACAGCTCTTTTCCCTTTTGGGAGAAGGATAGGATTGTAGAGTCTAAATGATGAGGGAGAAGGAGGCCTTGAGGTGCTTTAAATCAAGAAAACAGATGTATCCTTAGCCCTTGTCTTCCTGGGCAAACCCTTGTGGATGGGAATAGCTGGAGGCGGGATCAGAGCAAAGGCCTGGGACAAGGGGATGGTTTGGGGTACATGGATGCTAGGGATTCCAGCTAAGGAGTCTGCAATCGAACTGTTCTCTTCTGTCATTTTGTTCTACTTTTTTTTTTTTTTTTGGAAGATCATACTGAGGCTATTTCTTCCTTTCACAGTTAGGAGGTGTAGCAGAGCTGAAGTGTAATAGAACTCAGCCTGGCATTCCAGCATGTGTTTTTGGTCAGCAGCTAGGGGAAAGTCCTGGGGAAACTTGACACGGGTTGGCAATCTGAGCGCCCAGCTGGCCTGCTCCAGCCAGTCTTTCCCGGCTCTTAGGAAAGAACATGTGCACGACCCCTGAGCAAGAGCTATTTCTGTCTTACAGGATACAGTGTAAATACTCCTGTGTCCCATGACCTTTCCAAAGGGTAGCCACCCCTCCCTTCTTTGAGGCTGAACCCAGAGATGTTCTTTACTTTTTTCTTTTGAATGGGAGAATAAAGCATGGTTGCCTGAGTGCTGAGGGACTAGGGGTGAGTGTCCTATAGGCTGTAGAACTCTGTTAGGAGCAGGATCTGGTTTCTCTGCTTGACACGGAATAGCAGTGCCTGACAGTAGACAGTACTGAAGCAGCGCACAAGCTGGTGAGCAATGTGGGGAGTTCCTTTCTTAGTGAGGACAGACAGTACACCAAAGGCTGTCAGGGTGTGGTGCTCACACGTGGGGTCTTTAAATGCATCTCAGTGCCCAGACCCATCCCATGTCTGTAAGTTAGAATTTTAGGGGGCAAAAGTCAGGCAGTAGAATTTTAATAACTCTCCCAAGTGATTCCAGTGTGACAACCAGTGCTGTAAGGTTCTGGTATTCGTTATGTTCAGTGATGGCAGCTTCATCTGATTCTCAATACAAGTTCAGGCTAGGCCCCATCCTAGAGTCACTGAATCAGAACCTACTGTTTAATAAATTCTCCAGGGATTAAAGACTGGGAAGACTGCAGACTGCAGTGGGCGGTAGGGATACCCAGGAGCCACTGATGTCTGGAGTCTGTAGAGAGAAGCTGGAAACAAAACTGGAAAGCAGTCTCAGTGGGCAGGCAGTGGTGAGCCGTGCCCCGCCTGTGAACCTGGAGTGGACAGGCCTGAAGCAGTGCTAGGGTAAGCGACGCTGTGCTGCTGGCATCCCGGGTCTCAGCCTGTCCCCTTCCCTTGCAGGTGCTGCTCCCAGCAGCCAGCTTGCTGCAACTCATGGACGTTCGGCAGAACTGCTGTGACTTCCTGCAGTCTCAGCTGCATCCCACCAATTGCCTGGGCATTCGTGCATTTGCCGATGTGCACACCTGCACTGACCTTCTGCAGCAGGCCAATGCGTATGCAGGTAATGGGAACCCAGCTGCTGTACCTGCTTGGATTTGGTCTCTGGTCTACTGTGGACGCCCTTAGGGTTATGGGAAGTGTTCTTCCCAGTAAAGCAGCTGTGATTTAGGGAGGGTCACAAAACACATGGGAGACAGATTTAATAGTTGAAGTGTTTAGCTCATTGCAGAGTGGTGGTTAATTGCCAGGTGGGTGATATGGATTTTTACAACTGTAGGAGAAAGAGATCTGAAAAGTCTTGGGAACAGTAAATGGAGCTAGATCTTAAGAGAAATCTTGTGTAAGATAATTTTCATTTTGTTCCAAATATTCTATAAGCACAATTTTTAAAAAAGTTTTAGATTATTTTTTATTATTGTTCCATGATACAGTTCCATTTGCTCTGGGATTTCCCCTTCCCCTCTCCAAGTTCCCTCCTGTCCCCTGTTGATTTGCCCTGTAGTATTATAATGAGTGATCCTTCATGAACAATTGTTAAGTCCATCGTTCCGTTATTGAAGTGTTCCCTGACATTGTAGGCATGGACCATGTTGGAGAGTCCAGCTCCCTACTGTCAGCTGACTCACTGGGAGTCCATCTTTGGTCTGGATGCAGAGACATACTGTACTTTGTCTCCACATCTGAACATGTCAGTCTCTGTTACGCTTCTATTATACATCCGCTTAAATACAGAGCCAGTGAACACAGTCCACAACAGGGATAAAAATAGTAAATTTTCATCAACATGAAGTTAATGAATGTATATAAGTGTGTAAGCACAATTTTTTTAAAATAACATTGTATTATGTGACACAGTTTTATAGGTACTAGGATTCCTACCACCCCTTCCAGATCCCTCCCACCATGGTGGATTCCTCCACCTTGTTGTGTGACTATGGTACAAGTTCAGTTGAGATTCCTTCATTGCAAGCATATACCAAGCATAGAGTCCAGCATCTTATTGTCCAGATAAGTTCAACAGCTTTTTGGGGAGACCTTCTCTGGTCTGAAGGTAGAGCCAACAGAGTAAAAACCCAATCAATCAAAAGCTCCAACATAACATCAGCAACAATATACAATGTTATGGTATTAATTGACGTAATATTGAGTAAACAATTTATTAAAAATAATGCAAGTTCTTAGCCACATCCTGTGACTACTATAAGCACAATTTTTAAAGTTAAATATTACTTTGAAGCTTAGAGTGATTAGTGAGAATAGCTTGTCCATTTTCATTAAGCCTTGTTCTTAAGAAAGCTTCTCATTTTTAAAAAAATATTTATTTATTTATTTATTTTTACGAAGTCAGGTATACAGAGAGGAGGAGAGACAGAGAGGAAGATCTTCTGTCCGATGATTCACTTCCCAAGTGAGCGCAACAGCCAGTGCTGTGCTGACCCAAAGCCAGGAGCCAGGAAATTCCTCTAGGTCTCCCACATGGGTGCAGGGTCCCAAGGTTTTGGGTTGTCCTTGACTGCTTTCCCAGGCCACAAGCAAGGAGCTGGATGGGAAGTGAAGCTGTCAGGATTAGAACCGGCGGCCATATGGGATCCCAGCGCGTTCAAGGCAAAGACTTTAGCTGTTAGGCCACTATGCCGGGCCTGAAAGCTTCTCGTTTTTAACAATATACATTGTTTTTATGTTTTACAGTTTTGTAAGTACAGGGATTCTTCACACGCCCTTCATTTCTTCCCTCCCTATTTCTCTCCTTTCCATTATTACGGTAGTATAGTTCCTTAGTAACATTTGCAACATTAACTTGCTGCTAAATATGTCATGACATGGTGGGTAGAGGTGGAGGTGGAAAATCTAGTATCATGTTGTATGGGCATATTTACACTTCTATTTAAGCATAGAGATGCATACTGTAATGTAACATTACGTCCCAGTATGTTAGTCTTCATTGCACAGTTCATCTGTGAGAATATTTTGGGACTGGCTTATTTCACTAAGCGTGATGCTCTACAGTTGGGATCAGTTTGTTGCAAATGGCAGCATTTAATTTTTAAAAAAGATTTATTTATTTTTATTGGAAAGGCAGAATTACAGAGAAGAGGAGATAAAGAGAGAAAGAACTTTTATCTACTGGTTCGCTCCCCAAGTGGCCACAACAGCCAGAGCTGTGCTGATCCAAAGCCAGGAGCTTCCTCTGAATTTCCCACGTGGGTGCAGGGTCCGTAGGTTTTGGACCATCCTCTATTGCTTTCCCAGGCCATAAGCAGGGAGCTGGATGGGAAGCAGAGCAGCCAGGACACAAACTGGCACCCATATTGGATCCTGATCCTTGCAAGGCAAGGATTTAACCACTGAGCCATCACGCCGGTATCCCCCTTTTTATTTTAATTTTTAAAAATGTATTTGAAAGAGTGACAAAGAGGGCAAGATAAATGTGCACGCACGCACACACTATCCATTCACTGATGCACAATCTAAATGGCTGCAAAAGCCTGGTGGGCCACACAGAAGCCAGAAGCCAAGAACTCTAGCTGGGTCTCCCATACGGATACAGGGGTCTACATACTTGGGCCATCTTCTATTGTTTCTTCCATTGCCTTTTGGGGTTTTTTTTTTCTTGCTTCTTTTAAAAAATTATATTTGTTTAATTTTTAAAACTTAAAATTTTTCTCTTTAATACTGTTTATATAATTGAGAGGAATGGACACCCATTCCTCTGATTTGGCATCTAAATAGGTAGGCCTGTGGTTGGGAGAGGATCAGGTTTGGAGGAAGGTGAGTGGGACTGATGTTTCCATTTTTTATCTCCTGTGTCAGCAGGGAAGGACAGAAGGTGGCTGCTTTGCTGTCAAACTACATTAGCACCTGGGGCAGGCAATGTTCCTTTGATGCATTAGAGACCCTGATGTGCGGAAGAGTGCTATGAGAAGGTTGCCTGAGTAGTATTGATACTTCTGAGTTGTTGGTTTCATTCCTGCAGGGTTGAGAAAATCTTTCCAAGGTCTGTTGATAGACAAAGTCACAGACCTAGATGCTTGCTGCAGAGCTTGACCAGGAGCACTGTCCACCCTGTTCTGCTTTTCATCCTCTGGCAAAGCACTTGACATCCCCTGCTGGCTTACACGATCTGGCTGTCATGTTTCCCGTTTGCATCTGGGCATGATGCACAGGCATCAGCAACTGAGGAGGCCCAGGAACATGCACTCCAGGGTCAGAAAACACCTTCTGTGATTTTTTTCCTGGTGGCCAGAGTCCGAGTTCAGTGGTCTAGTTGTGAAGTCCTCCAAGAAAGCTTGTCTGGGGTGACCTCAGACTTGACTCGTGTGTGTGCCAACCAGTGCAGGGTCAGGTTTGGTCTCTCACCTGCACCAATCAATGCACATAGAGGTGGATGTATCTGCTTGGTCAGTTCTATCTGAACCCCATACCTCACACCAACAGATGGGGCTACAGTGCGGCCCAGCCAGCCTGCCACAGACCAGGTCCTGGTGCAAATCCCAGGTGCAACAGCCTAGTCTGGAAGACACCTTTTAGCCTACCAGGCCCATCCCCAGCCCTGGATTTTGAGAATGCCAGCCTCTGCTGGATACTCTGCCTGGCCAAGCCCACATCTCATCCAGTGCTCATGCATACCCACAGGAGCTACGGCTTAGCTCAGTCTGTCTCACCCCCATACCCAGCCCTCAGGTATGCTTACAGGTGCCACCCCCTTGTTCAGCCTGGCCCAACCCCAGCCCTGGTTCTTGTGCTCACCAATGGCATATACAACCTAGCAGGGGAGTGCCCACAGTTCCTCTGCCTGGCATGTTGCCAGCCCTGGATTTTATGTTTGCCACGGTATACTGTAGTCAAGCCTTACATGACTTGCACCAAGTCTTGCACTTGCAAGGTGTTGCTGTAGTCTAGCCCAGCTGGCCCACACTCATTCTGGTTTTACCCATTTGTACTACAGCCTAGCTCAGCCTGGCCCACTCTCAGACCTGGCTTTCATGTGACCCAGCAGATGCTGTGGTCTTGCCTTGCCTGTCCCATACCCATTCCGGCCCATTTTTGCCTGCCCCAGGTGTGCCGACAAGTGCTGCAGCTTTGCCCAGCCTGGTCTTCGCCTAGCCCTAGCTCTCACACTCCCCAGTGGGAGCTGCAGGATATCAGGGGGTTCCCCAGAGTTCTCCTGCCAGGCCCATTTCCAGCCCTGGGGCTTGAGCATGCTGGTGGGTGCTTCGACCTGGCCTGGAATGACCTACTTGCAGTCTTGCCCAGCTAGATGTGGTCCACATACTATCTTGGCATGCCACAGGTTCTGAGTCCTGGCCCAGCCTGGCCTGTCCCAAGAACCAGCCAACACAAATGCTGACAAGTACTGCAGCCTGACCTACCCCTGCCCTGGCTCATGTCCTCACCAGCAGGAGCTGCGGCCTGGTAGTTCCCCAACTTCCCCATCAGGTCTGCTACTTGCCTCAGATCCCATGCATGGTAGCCAGTGAGTGCAGTGGCCCTGTTTGGAATGCTGTGGGCTTAGTCCTAGCCTTTGCATATGCCGGCAGGTACTGCAGCCTAGCCTGCTCGACCTTCCTCCCAGCCCCAGCTCTATAAGTATCAGGTGGGTTCCTGTCAAGTAAGTTCTGGGTCCAGCCTTGCTAAGTCAGTCACCACTCCATGTAAACCAATGTGTGTTGGCATCTTACAGAGGCAGGCCTATAAGTCCTCTACAGAATTTTCCCCCAGACCTAGTTCTTTTGCATTCTGATGGGTGCTGTGACCCCAGCCTGCTGTGACCTACCCTCTGCTCTGACACTTGCAGGTGGATACTATGGCCTAGCCCAGCTGGGCATGCCCTCCAGCCCCAGCTTTTGAGTGTTCCAGCTCTAGGGGTGATGCTCTTTTAGCCCAGGTCTCCCACATGGGTGGGTAGGTTGGCTTGATGCAGACATACCTTCCAGTTTCTCCCATCTAAACAACTCCATCTCGCTGTAAGTGTAGTGGTGCAATCTGTTGAAGATCCCAGAAGTCATTCCTTCCATGTCAAACATGCCCTCAGCTGCTCCCACTCCATTACGTTCCCAGACT